TCTCTCTCTCTCTCTCTCTCTCTCTCTCTCTCTCTCTCTCTCTCTAGGAGGTCACACTCCAGGGAGACAAGTGCATTCATCAGGAATGCCTTCTTGGATGGAATTAAGAACACCATATTGTCTCCCTGGGACTGCAGAATTAGCCATTAAATCTTTGAAGGGAGGAAAAATTGTGCAATAACCTATAACCCTACAGTGCAGGAGAACATGCTCACGTTTAGTCAGCAACTGTGAGTAAACCAGCGTTCAAAGCAGAACAAAAGACATGCTATCCCCAAGGTGTTACCTAAGTTCATGCTTGGCTGGTATATACTTGCAGGTACATTACTGCTGCTAGCCATGCAGGCTCGGACTGTCAAGGCCATCAAACTATGACTCATTATGAGTGCACAAGCACCAGGGATTCACAGTGTACATATGTTACATGCTTTTTTTTGGCACCGTCTTTACATTTTGCCTGACAAACTCCATCTTAATTCCAATCAAAACCTGGTGGCAAGTACAGCAATTGCTGTGTTGGAGCTTATATCATCAAATCCTTGAACTTAAGTTAGCAGCTGGACATCCACCAACAGGTTGCAAAACACTGCAGGATCACTGGTCACTGGTTAATAAGTGCTCTGTTGTGGCGCTGTCGGCGTCCTACATCGCAACAAAAGCTAATATCGCTTAACCACATGTAATCTAGTGATATAACAAACATGTAAAAAGAGCGCTCTAGGGTATAAAACAAACAAAGTAACTCAGTCATGTGGTGTTACTTTGTTTATCAACGGACTTAATCTACAGTACGTTATTGCTACTTTAGCATGAAGTGTAACGTTAACTTAGCTACAAGTGTCAACAATCATATTGGAGAGTAACGCATGTCGATACTCAGTGAAGCTTTACAAATACTTCCAGACAGTAGTAGCCAAGCAAGGGTGGTACGATTATGTGCATTAACGTATTAACATGATAAAAACTGCCCGCTGATTATTGAGCCCAGGAGCTGTCAAACTAGCTTAGCTGGCTAGCCTGGTCGGTTAGCCACCTAGCCAGCAGGCTAGATAATTAGCTAGCTTGTCGGCTAAGTGAGTTAGCTTACACTGTCGGACAAAATGCTTAAACAAAAAGCTAAAGTGATCTCATAACAGTGTAACTGTTATCCCACACTAAACAAAAGGCCAGGCAAAACGACAGTCACAAAGAGAGGACGCTCTTAAGACAAATAGTATTTGTCAAAGTCAGCTAACTAACTAACTTGCTAGTAGCATACATGCTAGCTAACTTGTTCCGAGTGACGTGACGTCAAAGTTTTGAGTACGTGTCTCTTTCAAACAGGTAAACTACAGAAACACACAACGCGACATGGACGTACTGTAGTTGGGAGATACTTACGCTTTGTCAACCAACTCCCGAACCTTCCACATGTTCAGCATCTTGGCTCCGTGAAAATGGGCTTTCTGCCTCGGACAAAACCCTTTACTCCACACGAACACCGCAACCAAACCCTGAACTCTGTAAAGTAAACTCTTCTTCACCTCTCTCTCAAGACAGGAGGCGCAAACGCACCAACAGGCAGGAAAGGTTACTACGGGAAATGCCGATGTAACGTCATCAAAGTTGCGTAAAGCAGCATTGGAGTTGTAGTTCCTGATTAGCGTCCGGGGCCTCAGTATCTCGCATTGATACTGTGTGCACATTAACCCTTTTAAATGGTTTTAAAAAACAGCTGTCAACTTCGTACACAATTAAAACCAATTGTAGGGATATAAAACAATAGAGAAAACCAGTTGCCCGAGGAAATATTTGACTGATTTGCATTTCCGAGGACCTCTGCAATCCCATCAAGGTTAACTGGATTAAAAAGAACAACAGAAAAATCCTATTATAATATAAATGCCATTGGCCCTGGTTGGGAAAAGTAGTCCAACAGCATTACCTGAGGCAATTAAAATGTGGTTTGTATAGGTAGCTATTGTGGTTTCTATTCATGTTAGTGATGCATACAGTGAGCATTTATCCAGTTGAATATGACTGATATTCAATAGTGTTGTGTATTGGTAGCACTGTAGATGTAAATAAATAACAAGAAATTACAGCACAGAAATACCCAAATATGTTTGCGGTTATTTTAAAATGGTAAATACATTACATAACTTTTCATCAGAGCGCACTGACAAGTCTATGTTTCGAAGTGACTCGTTTATTTAAAAAAAATATATATATACATTTTAAGGGATCTTTATCAAAAAATGTGTGTTATGTGTTTAAAATCTAGTATCGGTCGGGTTATATTATCCAGAAAGGACCATTTCTAATGTTTTATCCTCAATTTATTATTTGTGTCCATTTTGAAGTGATAATCGTTGGCTTTCACTTTACACTACTAACTGTTGATTATTATAAAACCTGTTGTTTTTGTTTGTCCAAATGTGTTCAATCTTCCTCAAAACTATAGTCTACATCCTCGTCTGCAGGTCACCACCCTGTGTGTTCTCCATCCATCCTCATCTGGCATTCAGGCATGCTACAATGACCCAGTGATGCTGTGTGACAGGCCAGGCAGGGCACTGGCTGTTTGTGTCAATCCAGATCAATCACTCCCTCTTCTGGACGGACAACGTCATCAACGCGCAGAAAGGTCACAGGGTGTACTCAAGCCAGGCCCGATGTGGTGAGCAGGGAGGTCAGCGTAGCAAGTGAACACCCTTGACTGACTGAGCATCATCTTAAACAGACACAGTCGATTCATGAGGAAAAATAAATCGACTCTCGGTCGTCTTTTTTTTGATTCTCCTGTGACTGGGCGTATACAAAAAGTATTAAGACTGTTTGTCGTATTGATTATATTCCAGTGGGCAAAATAAGCCCTCGGATGCCCTACTCTCTATTCTCTAATGATACGTGTAAATATGGCCCACGGCTTACGCTTCTATAGGAGAGCAGGAGGAAACAACACAATAGCCAAAATACAACCCATTTGAGAAAAAAACAACAAGAAACAGCACTTAACAGCCCAGAATGCACTGCACCCAAGGGAGCAACCTCAATTACTGTTACACGTCCAAAGAGGAGAACTCCAGGAGAAGTGATTGCCGGGATGGAAATGGCTCTGTGTGTGTTTGTGCATGTGCGAGTGTGTTTTTGTGCGAGTGTGTGGGTCGGAGGAGGATGGATGGAAAGGCACTCAGTAAAAAGATCTTTCAGAAACACTTTGCCTCAGTGACGTTGACGCGAGCTGTTGATTGACATGCACTTCTCGACAGAAACCAGAGCTATCAACCTATCTGCTACACATTAAGAATGGCACGGTCCTCGGGGAGGGGCCTAAGTGGTAAATGATGTTGCTCAAGACACTCTCTGTCAACAATGTGTGTGTATCCGTGAGTGTGTCAGTGCTGAGGATGGCAAAGTATTCAATCAAAGCTTTGATTGAAAAACTCTTGTGTCCTTAAAGATCAGAATTCTGTACACTGATGTATAGGATGCATGTGTGTGTGTAATCAGGGATGAGTCTGTATGTGTGTGTGTGTGTGTGTGTGTGTGTGTTTTAAATACAGTATGTTATAGAATGCAGTTTAGTGGGAAAAAATGGAGTTTGCAGAAAGCTTAATTGCAGAAATCTGATCTCAAACAATATCTATGCAGTTAAATAGTGCTGTCAAAGCAAGCTTTGGAGTTTGTTTTTGTTTTGGACAGTTTAAATTTAAAGAAAGAGAGCGACAAAAACATCCTCTGCAAGAAATCTTGTAGACCCACTTTCTCTCTTTAGATATGGAAAAAAAAAATGTCAGCCTTTCCTTGATATTTCATATTTTATAGCCACGTTCCATTCATCATCTTGCTCCTCGGTTGATCGTCAATTTGGTCTACCGAGACAAAGTTGTCACTAACAACTTTGGAGTGGAAGGAGATGGAAAAAGTAAGCCGGATAAACAGGCTGTAATTGTAACACAAGCAGCACTAGGGGGCACTCTGACTTTTCTGGTGCTGCAGACGGCTGGCGTATTGCACAGAGGGTGAGTGTGTTCGAGGTCTGTGCAGGCGTGAGTGTGTGTCAGTCAGTGCGACCACTGGGGGTCGAGGCTGTGTGTTTACACGGCTGAAGTTCCCATGACAAATGTGGTCAGAACATCATCTCGACTTGGGAATGTGCTCTACAACTCCGCTATTATTCTTTCTCTGCAAAACATGTGCTTCCAATCTTTTGAAAAACTCTGTGCTTTTTTTTTTTTTTTTTTGCTTTTGCAGTTTTACAATGTCATTAGAAAACAATGTTTTTTGTTTTTCACATTAGCTATGAATCAACAACCCCGCCCATCTTTGTGCCCACAGAAGAGGTTCTGATCTGTGGAGTCACTGGCATGGGGCCCGGCTTCCCTCCTGTCAGAGCGAGGGGTTCTTTCACTGCTGTTATATTTCAGGCTGTTATTGTTGGCCCTCTTGCAGCCCCGGTAAGATCTTTAGTCCTTTTCCCAAGCGATATAACCCCCACACACATCACACAGTATCTGACCCCTGTCTCCATGACACATGACAGGTCCTCTGTGGTGCGCGCGTGTGTGGGCATGTGAGCGAGGACTGATGTTTGAGTGTGTGTATATGCTTTCATGTAAATGTGTAGTAAATATGTACGCGTAGAGCACGGATGTGTGTGCAAGTGCACGGAGCATATCTGTCTCACTATGTAGGTATTGAATTATGCTAAAAACAATGAGGCCGCTTGTCACATGTTCAAAGTCGCACAGACAACCCGCTGTGATCTCAAACCACATACACAGATGTTCCTAATGGGACTAAAGTAGCATTCGCATTCCTGTGGATAACCAGTCTGTTTATTTTACTCTCTAAACTGGACTGGATTGCCACTTTTCCTGGTGAGAAAAATGATAGAAAAAAAAAAATACAGGGAGGCTGATGAGAGAGGCTCCCACCACAGTTTGGAGCTCCAAAGCCAACTGTCAGTCCTGCTTAACCGGCAAACATCAGCGGCCGTGATTTAGGGGGGCAGTAATTCAATGTATAATGGAAGTTGATGCGAGTGTGCGATTACTCCGCAAGTTAACACTGTTGTTTTCTTATTCCCCTACATGAGGAAATGAGCTGGGCGTAATTGTGAAGGCTTATGTTTATGACTCAGGGTGTTACAGTAAATCCTGTTGCTTTATACATGGGCCAGAAAGCCCACGTACACGCAAAGAAACCCACACAGGTATGCTCAAGTCCTGAGAGCATCTGCTCCTTTACAACCAGATTGAATTAGCAATTACAGAGAGTAAAAAACTGAACAAAACATCTGGAGCTGTAAGCAGCAGAGGTTATAAATCTGAGAGAAAGGGTGGGGGGGATATGAAAATGAGCCAAAGTGAGATTCTCAAGGACAGCGTCTCCAATTGGCCCATTAACATGCCAGGGGTGTCAAAAAGGACCCGAGGCTATGGTAGAAATGGGACAGAGCAGAGGGCTTTAGAGGGCATATGGAACACCAGTGAATGGAGAGGTACAGAGTACAGTTGGAGAGCACAGCAGAGGTTCCAGTGAGATACTGTAGGGAAGTGAAATGCAGTCAGTATTGGCAAAGATAACACAACTGAGCAGATACGTGGATGTTGTTTGTGTCTTGAACCTCCACACAGGAAATCACCCCGATAAGCAGAGAGAAAAGCCGTGGAAAAGCTGAAGGGATGTCGTGAAAAAAGACCCGGAGCTGTGTGGGTATCAGAATTAAGGAACAGAGGCAGAGCATCACCACATTGCCGAATCAAGGCATGTTTGGACACGGGACATGTTTCAAGTAAACATGAGGCTGGGTGTTCATAAATGTATTTTCACGATTTTAAATCCATATAAATGTGAGGTTGGGAAGCCGCAGCACCATTACCACATCTGTTTTTGCTATTATTGGCACAATAAATTACGTAGGCAATTTGTTTGCGCTGTTGTTGGAGTAATAGAATCAAATTATCCCATGTTAGGGAAATGATTATGTACGAAGCGGAACCCATCAGGGATTCACAAGGCAATCAGTGAAGTAAGACAGAGCTGAAATGTTGGCACTCTGCACATCAACTGTTCCAGGTCCATGACGTCATCTGAAAGAACTTCTCAACCTCGGATAGGAGATAATTGTACCTGACGTAGGCTGTTTTCACCCACTAATCTGGCAATGCCAAGAGTGCTAAGTCAGTGTGGAGCCACAGTGGCCTGCTGTTGTAGATCTGCAGTACAGCATCAATCCAGTGGAGCCGTGTGAAACAGCACAGAGTCATAATTCAAAGAGCCTGACACAAGCGGAAAATCTTCAGAACGAAGGACAATATCAGATGAGTCTCATCAATTAAAAGTCAGTTTACATTCCCACTCCAAGACCAGACACTGGGTGGATGTTTCAAATAGGTCAAGGTTGGAGTGAAAACAAAAGTTAGTTGATTAGCAGTCGAGGTGCAACGTTCCTTCTTTGTATGCTAATCTGGCAGATCATCATATCGTGTAGGCACTGCCTGCGATTCTACATCTGCACGCACTCATTTAATTATCCAAACACAATTCACAAAAGTCACTGGAAACAAACCAAACCAAAATAAAATAATTTGCATATATTTAAAAGAGCAGATAAAGTCCCCCGGGGTTGGTTAATATTTCA